GGAGGTGGGCTGCTGTGAGTCGCCTGCGATGACTTAGGCTGCAGCGGGGCTGCAGTGGGCTGCCATGAGCTACATGAGTGGCTGGCAGCCAGTGTGAGTGGCTGGCAGCAGGCGAGAGCTGCTGTGAGTCGCAGTGAGTGGCCGACCAATGACCAGTGACCGATTGCCTCACCCGGGAAGAGCACAATGATCATACCAACATGGGCCAGTAAAGCGACATCCTCCACAACTAGACTGAAGAACAAAACAGCAATTTGTCTATCTGTCTGTTTCCTTTCCTCGATTCCCCAACGCCGTTCCCCTCCCCCCAATTCCCCAATAAAATATTTTTAAAAATAACAAAAAACTCAACTTCTGTGGTTTACAGCTATCTAGGAAAAAATAAGTCAGTAGCTAGTAACATGACCAAAACCCCTAAAGATCTAAAATGTAATCTGTGAGCCTCACAGTTTGGAACTCTAAAAAATTATGCTGAAAAGTCAGAATCTCCCACTACTGCACAGCATAGGTAAACAGAAGTGGTTTTAGTCAGCAGGCGCTCTCAATACACATTATTCCCTCTAAATCATATTATAATGTTGCTGCCTGGGTAACCTTAGCTACCCATTATATTATCAAGCCATCAAAAAGCTTTTTAAAAGCTTAGCAGAAAGATAAAATGCAAGGCCACAGAGAACATCATCCTTTTGGAATGTGGCCACTTTACCTAGGGTATTTAGAGTCATATACTGCTATAGGGAATGTAAAATGATATAGCACTTTGGAAAACTGTGGCATTTCTTCAAAAGGTCAAACATAGTCACCACATGACCAAGGAATTCCACTCCTATATACCCAAAATGAAAATATCTGTCCACAAAAAACTTTTACATGAATGTTCATAGCTGCATTATTCATAACATCTAAAAAGGAGAACCAATCCAAATGTCTATCAACTGAGGAACAGATGAATAAAATGGGGCATACCCATACAATGGATTATTTTACAGCAATAAGCAATTGAAGCACTGATATATGCTATAAAATGGATGAACCTTAAAAATATGCTAAAAAGCTAGTCACAAAGGACCACAAATTGCAGGATTCCACTGACATGAAATATTCAGTGTAGGTAAACCTACAGAGATGAAAATAGACTAGCGGTTGCCTAGGGCTAAAAGGTGTTAGGCAAAATAAAGAATGGATGCTAACAGATATTTTTTGTTTGTTTATTTTAAAGGAGATGATGAATATGTTCTAGTATTAACTGTGGTGATGTCTGAGCAACTCTGAATATACTAAAAACCACTGAATTGTGTATTTTAAATTGGGGAATTATATGGTATGTGAATTATATTTGAATAACGCTGTTACATATATTAAAAAAAAACAATGAACTGTCTTTATGCAAATAACTAAGTTGCTTGTATGTACTAAACTTTAGATCATAACTTCCTAAAAAAGCAAAGGTTGTTTTTAGTTTAAGTACCTATTTTGGTAATATAAACTTGGCAAAACCAAAATGCTAACAGGCACAACATCACACATAAGGAACTCAATAAGTGTTCATAGTGAACACTCAGGAAATAAAACCTAATGCTAAACTTGATCTTTATACCTTTGATCCTGAAAGTATTAAAAATTCAACTTTGACTTTTTACCTTACAAAACTGAAATCAAGTCTGGCCATGTCAGCGTTATCTTCTGGGATATTACGAGCCAAGATTCCTAATTGAACAAAGTTAAAGGATTAGTTCAAAAACAAGTCAGAATAAGGTACTTCTTTCCAATATAGTGTCAGCATTCAAGTTAAAGCCTCTCACATTGCTTAATTAAGAATGCCAAACACATAGTTAAAAAAATAAGATTAGCTGGTATATGTGAAAACCTTTTTTATCAGTCCCTGATTCCCCTTTTCTTAAGCAGCTAAATGTAAAAGGAATTTTCACATAACTGTTGCCAGCTCCATTAATCTATGTGCTCCCTTAAGTAAATGGCTTGCCTGATTCTTAGCACCACACCCTTTTATTCTGCCAATTTTTATTGTAACTGGTAAGTTAGCTATGCACATGTGTCTCACCATTTTAGTTGACATGCAATTCATTGTCTCAGATGAATGAACAAAGTAAAGCACTTTGAAAGTTACACTGTGATTCTTATAAAGTTTGAATCATGATAAAGTCTTTTCACACATAAAAATCTAAATATTTTCATTAACTCCAGCGGGAACTATTACTGTAAGTTAATGATCAGGTCAGGACTAATAGCAAGCAAAGGAAAAGAATCAATTCACTGCATATAAAGCAAACTAGATTTTAAACAGGTTCTAACATATTATGACATTTAGCAGCAAATGTTACAAAACCAATATACCCTCACAGGTAATTTTTTTTTGAGCTTATGACCTGCCTTTTCCTTGTCCGTTCTACAAAGCAGTCAACTAAAATATTCCTGGAAACCACTGGCTGTTTTAAACTGAAGGTACTAACCACTTACCAGCATGGACTGCAGGATGTAGGGTTTTCACACGTCCCCCTAACATTTCAGGAAATCCTGTCAGCTCAGAGACATCTCTGAAAATAGATAAATAGAATACTGCTACTCTTTCTGCTGAATTGTCATTTTACATTTCACACAATTCCAAAGAATCTTCTAACATTAAATCTACTGTTCATTTGGAGAGATTTTTCAAAGCCTGAAATTTCAGAATTCAGAAATTGAATCATAAGCCATACTAATGACATATCATTAAGAAACAAATTCAACTGAAAAGTAATTTGACAGTGTATAACAAAAAACATTAAAAATATCCTTATCTCAGAAAGAGATTAAAGTAAAAACAACAATCTAGTTTTATGATTAAACAGCACAAAGATGGCAAATCAAATGAGTGGGGAAATAAGATTGTTTAGTAAAGTGGTGTTGGTATTGGAATGACTGGTTAACCATACACAAAAATAAATTCTCAATGTATCAAAGGTCTGAGCATCTAAAAAAAAAAATCATAGATGCACCAAAATTAAGTACACGAGGAGTATTGTTCAAAACATTAAACAAATGATTAATAGATCTATGTAAATATTAAAAACTTTTACAGGGAAAAAACGCAAGCTGGAAAAATGATTGCAAAATATGATAAAGAACCAAATGAAAGAAAACATTTAAATATCGATCCATATCACCAAGCTGACATGAACCCTCTCTCTGGAAGAAATCACAAGCAAATTTAATGACATGAGAAATGCCTACAATATGTTAAATGAACAAAAGCAAGAAGCAAAACTATCTTCTATGAGCTATGAAACAAAGTATATGCTTATAAAAACACTGGCGGAAACACATCAACATGTTAAAAAATGGAAGCCATTTTTATTTTACTACCATCTTTAAAGGTTTCCACATTTTTCAAATTTCTACAATTAACACATACTGCCTTTATAGTAAAAAAAATAAACATCCTAAATCAGCAAATTCTAAAACAGGACACACAATTTCCTGGGTAGACATTCCTATTAAGAAGGACTATTTGCAAATGACTGGTATTTGATCAAGGACTTATACACTGACAAACTGGTGACATTATGGTTAATTGCTAAAAGAAGAGAAGGCAGATCTATTCTTAGAATTAACCACCATTTGGGTAATTAAAAACTTGCTACTCCTCTATAGTTAAGAATTAGTATGTCAGCTGCCTTCTTCAGAATAATTCTCGCATGCTCACTGCTGTGTATTCATCAATTGAAATCTCATCAGTTTACCTCACACCTCAGGGGTAACTCCTACTACAAAATCTTGGCTCCGCCTCTTACTGGCTGTGTTAATTTTGGATAAGTTACTGGACTTCTTTGTGCCTCAATTTTCTTATAAAATGGAAGTATTTACTGCCCACACCAAAAAGTTGTTGTAAGGATTACATTAGTTCATCTATATATAAAAGTGTTAACAGTCTCATGTTAACTGGAGAGAAACACATTTACGTTCCAAATTTTTTAAAAAAGACATAGCCATAGCGGAAGTAATCGAGGGGTAGGCAGAGGTACAGATCCAACAAGACTAAAGCGTTGGTAAGTATTTAAATGGGACATGGGTATGCAACCTAAGTGCTCACTATAGCTTTCTGCCTTTTTTTTGGTCTGCAATGTTTCCATAGTACAAAGTTTGGTGGGGAAAAAAGAGGCTACAGAAGAGGACCTTGCTTAATTTGGAGGGTCCGACCTGAAAAGGACTCAACATGGGAAAATGGAAAGACGACTTTAGGCTTTGCTTTCTCATCCTGTCTCCCATGGGGCTCTCATGAAAACCCCGTCAGAGGGATGCTGCAAGATGACTTTGGAACATATAGAGCATTTATATATAAATAAACTAGAGCATTATTGCATATGAGCTGTCAAATTTGGGGAAGCTGTGTGCTGCCTACAGTGGGCAGGGTGACAAGAGGAAAAAGGCAATAATTTACCTCCACATGGATCTAGACCGCAAGTAGCTAACTTTTCCACACGGCAACAAAAGCAGAGGGATCCCTCAATCCTCTTCTAAAACATATTTCGGAGTGGATATGCGCTCTCCACTGCAGTTTATTACAGCTGTCCTACGGCCTTTTTCATTTTCTAACTTTCAGTCGTTACTACCTCTCCTAAAAGCACAACGCCGGCAACGTGAGGTCCGAACTGCAGCCTGCTTTAGCTTTTGCTCATTCCTTCTTCCCATCACGTAGGCCAGGTAATGCACAGCTTATGGATGAGGGAATAAATACAGATATGTGCTCTCCTATGGTTACCAGAAATGCTAAGAGAAGAGAGGTAGACTTGAAATCTTAATGACGTCAACAGCTTACTAAAGAACCAGTCAAAACAGATCATGTGAATCATCAAATTGAGTTTGTCTTGCAAAACCAATAGCCTGCCTAAATTAATTTGTTATAGGAGCTGCCTTTGAAAAGGCGGGCTCTGAAATGATGACACCCAGGTTCCTAATCCCGAGCTCTGCTCCTTCCTAAACTCTGTAAACTTGAGCAGAAGGTATTAAATCTCTCTGAAACTCACTTTCCTCTTCTACAGAGTGGGTAAGTAGTGTACCAATCTCAGGGCATTGCTGGGAGGAGTAATTAAGGTATTTTACTCACAGTGCCTGGAATGCATTTCTTTCTGGGGAACGTGATCACACTCGTTCTGACTGGACTGAACTTAAAACACTCAGTTGTGCCTTACCTGACGGCCAGACCAGCATCCCTGAGCACTTTTGCAGTCCCTCCAGAAGCGATCAGATTCAAACCAACAGAAGTTAGGCTTCTGGCAAATTCCACAAGGCCGGTTTTGTCAGAGACACTAAATAAGGCTGAAACAGAAGGCATTTTTCATCACTCGCAATGCATTCTGTTCTTCAAGGCCTTATGTGGGGGAGGGGAGGGGCGCGAATCTCAAGGCCATCATCACCTCTTCCCAAGCCTAGACCCGGGGCCGGATGTGACCCCAGCCAGCCACCTGACCGCAGAAGGGAGCCTCCAGGCCTGCAGCGCAGCCAGGCCTTCCAACCTTCCCGCCCCCCCAACAACGCTGCTCCCCGCGTTACCGCCGGGCGGCCGCTACTGCCCGGGTGAGGGCGCTGGGGGGCGCCGGCGCCGATGGCGCCCGCGCTCGAGTGCTCACCGAGCTGGCCGGGTGCCATGGCTGAGGGCCGCGGGGTCCGGGGACCAGAGGGACAGCGGCAGCAAGTGACGCCACGTGCAGAGGGACGCTGTGCGACCGAGATCGCGATGCGGAAGCAGGGCGGGTACTGGCGGGTCCCGGCGGGCGCCTGACCGGTCACGTGACCTGGCGCGCTCCACCCAGCGCTCAGCCAAGCTCAATTTTAGACTTGCAATTGGAGCCTGGAGGCTGGAAGGGAAGGCGGAGTTGGGCTCCAGCTGAGTTTCCTAGACCTGGATCGTAAACTTGAAGATCACCGCCAGGAATCTCACACTGTGGGCCCCGCTTGCCTCTGCCCCCTAAAACGTGGCTGCCCCTCGGCCTCAGGAGCAAATCCCTGTTGCCCGGGGCAGCCTGTCCCCAGAGGCTGCGCGTACAAAAGTGTCAAAAGCACGGATACAGAAAACGAAAGAAACGAAAGATGCTCAGGTTGACAGCATCGTGGCAATCTGCTGGCATCCTTGCGTTTTAGTAAATTCGAAAAATCAAAGGAAGACCTGAAGATGAAAGATTAAGTGATGAACTCCACAGTTCACATAATTAAGGCAAAACAAAGTTGATATTCATTTGAGTTTTTGATTCCACCTGTGGATGAAAAAAGGGCGTTGTGTGGAAAGTAACCTCACAGGGTGAGCTGATCATAAATTCCTAACTGGGCAGCAGGTCATGGTGGGCAGTCACACCCCCAGGCCTGTAACTTCTTTAGTGAAAGGTTTTAAGCCGGCCTGTCCATTGTTCTAGTGCATCTAGGCTAACACACCTTTAAATGCCAGAAGTAATTAACCCCTTGATGGGGGTATTAACCCTCAAGACAGCACATACTCTTGTTAACTGTCCTGTAACCCAACCCATTTATTTCTCTTGTCTTCCTTAAGTCACTTCTTTAATTTCAAATGCATAAAAGAAGCTACAAAACTGTTATTCTCCAGAGCATTTGAAATCTTGCTCCCTGGCATCGTGTGTCATCGGTTTGGCTCAAATAAACTCTAATAAAAATTCTCTACAGGTTTAGATGTTTCTTACATTGACAAATTTTTTTTATAAGAAATGGAAGCAGAGAAAGGAGAAAATAAAGCTGACATTTAGTGATAAGAGAAAAATAAACAGTACTTAGGCACTCGGCATTTTTTCCTGCATGTGAATTTCAAATACTCAATTTAATAAATATTTATTGAGTACTTTCTGCCTAAATGGCAGAAATACAGTGTCAGAAAGACAGAGATGAATGCCATCTAATCACTGTCTGTAAGCAGCTCATGATGGAATGAAAGTATAGAAACACAGGTACAGCTAGAAAATTTTAATAGAAAGAGAAAGCACAAGATTAAATTGATTTTTGTAGAGGCCCTTTGGAATGCTGCCATGTATACTTAAAAAAAAAAGAATGAACTGTAGGTTCCAGACCAAGACACAACTCAATTCGCCTTAAGATGTTTACTAAGATTAATTCTAACTAATCCCTTCCTAGTTTTAAAGTTCAGACTTGATCATTACCTCACACGTTAATGGCAAGAAGAGTAAATGAAATTTTTGTTAGCTTTGTGATCCTGGCCACATCGCTCCATCTTTGGGAAACTTAGTTGCTTTGTCTATAATATGGGAATAATATTTCATCTGTAGGCTTCATCAGATTATAAGAAGCACATCAATGTATTCAAAGTGCGATCTGCAAAGTGACTAATAAGGGTAATAAAGAAATATGATTTCCTTCTTGGTTCATTCCCTTGATGGAGTTCACTAAGTGTGTATCTCTCTGGGCTTCAGCGTATGCATGTCTTAAAGATGCAAGTCACAAGAAAGCTAGAGTATTAGAAATGGGAGACGTCCCCACAAAGATGTGAACTCATCTTCCAAGGGTCTATCAGTAACAGTGCTTCAGACAGAAAAACACATGCATGCATGATAATGATTATATTCTAAGTTCTCTTCTTAGTTCACACCCCTCTCAAAGGAAACTTAAAGACCCTGAAATCATCTTTATATATCTAAAAATATTCAATATATTTACAAGTAATTTCAGTTATCCAAGTGTGCTATAATCTATTTTGCCTGTTTCTTATTCCTGGGTAAACTTATCACTTCCTCCAAAAAGCCTCAACCCCACTCCCAAATCTGGGATGTCTAAGAATGGTAAAGCTGCTTCATTTGGGGCCAACTTGTTCCAAGGGTTGAGCCACTCCATGGGTGAAGTCTGCCATATGAAGTGATTCCCAGGAACTTGGATAATTGAATGAATATATTAAGTATTATCTGCAAAACCCCTGTCTACTCTAATCTAGAGTAGTTAAACAGTCTTGTGACATATTAAGAAATTTGAATGTTTTCCTTGAAGGTTCTGAGGATGTTTGGCAATAGTACAAAGAATGAATTAGAATAACAGGAAGCAGGGAAACCAGTTAAGAAGGTTTTGCATTAACTCACACAAATTCCTCACCAGATACATGAAAGCATAGAAAAGGAGAGATTTATGTGAGACAGAATCAGGGGTAAAACCAACAGTACACAGAGATCAATTATATGAAGAAAATATGAAATGGAAAGAAGCAAGGGAGACTCCAACATTTCTAGCTTGATCATCTGAATAGCTGGTGAAGCAAATAACCGACTTTAAAAAAAAAGTAAGAGAAAAAAAAACAGTTTGGGCATGTGTCTATTTTTATTTGAAGTCAATATGAGAGTTTGGTTAAGTTAATTTGAGTTTCTAAATGTTGATTTTGAAGTATAAACAACTGAATGAAAATATACGGTAAGCTTTTGAAAATACAAATGCAAATCAAGACTGGTTGTGATAAATAAATTTGGAAAGTTAGTGACACTGAAGTAGTAGTTGAAGCCTGAAAGAAGATAAGCTTACTTAATGCAGTCCAGCAAATAGCCTGAGTAAGTCAGAAGGCCAAAAAAGGGTAATTTGTTTAAGTAAACATTTAATGCCCTAAGTGTGCATGTGGATTTTAACCATGTAGGCTTTATATAATTAATAGTATAGCTGACAGAGCAATAAAAAACTGATATTATGGCTAGTTTCATCTTATGAATATTTATGAAGGGTGATATTTATTCATTCACTCATGGATTCATTCAAAAAATATTTACTGAGGACATGCTATGCACCAGGCTTGAGTTCAATGAGGATACAAACAGACACACACAAAAAAGAAACCAAACCCCTGTCCTCCTGGAGTTTTCATTCTCAGAGGAGGAGACAGTCAATAACATATATGCATAAATTTTACAGTGTGCCAGATAAGGAGATACTTTATCCCTATGGAAAAAATAAAGCAGGGAAGGGGACAGGGCAGAAGGCAGCTGCAAGTTTTAAGTAGTCTTGTCAGAGAATTTCACACTGAGAAGTTCCATTTGAGTAAAGAACAGAAGTGAGGAAAAGGTAGAAAGCTACAGGGTATTTGGAGAAGAATATTCCAAGCAGAGTAATACCCAGTGCAACGGCCCTGCACAGGGACTGTGCCTGTCCTGTTTAAAGAACAGCGTGGAGGGTGGTATGGCTGCAACAAAGGGAGCGAGGCTAAGAGAAGGAGAAAATGATGTCAGTAGTCAAGTTGTATAGGGCTTTGTGGGCCATTGTAAAGACTGGCGTTTACCCTGAGTGAAAAGGACGATTTTGGAGAGTTTTGAGCCGGAATGGCATCTAGTTTATGTTGTAACATGCTCATTCTAGTTGTATGAGAGTAAAGATGAAAACAGAGAGATCCTTAAGGAGACTGTTGCAATAATCTAGAACCTAGATATTGGTGAAAGATGAGGGTGGTGAAGAGGTTCAGAACAAGCTTCCTTGGCATGTGAATTATTGGGAGCTGAAGGCAATCAAGACCCTACAGACTCCAAAGAAACTGTTACCTCTCCCTTAAAGAATTTAAATTTGGGACCTTGTCCATAATAAGAGTTATTGCCAGAGATAAATTTTTATGACCTATCTGTAGGGCAGGGCAAGCATCTAATTACTGAACATCTGCTCTTCTTATCTTTCTGCAAATGACCTCCCTCTTCTCTGAAGCCCCAAGGGGGCTTACGTCATCCTTAGCTCAGAATGCTATATATAACTCATTTTAACTTTCTGTCTCTGAACTCTCATATATGTGGGGTTTCTGATACTCTCATGTATGTGAGGTTCTCATACATATGTATGTGATTAAATCTGGTTATTTTCTCATTAGTCTATCTCATGTCCATTTGATTATTAGGCCAACCAGAAGAACCGAGAAGAGTAGAGGAAGGTTTCTTTCTCCCCTACAGTGGTATGGCCTAGATGACATCAGTGATACTGTGAGAATTAATCAAATTCCATATACATTTTGAAGGAACAGCCAACAATGTTTGCTGACAGTTAGATGTAAAATGTGAGAGGAAGAAAGGAAGCAAGGATGATTGAAAGATTAATTGGCCTGTACAACTAGAAAATTGGAGTTGACAGTAGCTAACATTGGAAAGGCTGCAAGTAGAGTAGTCCTGGGAGGAGGAACAGAAGCTACATTTAGGACATGGGATACCTATTTTAGATATCTAAATGGAAATGTCTAATGGATAGTTGGAGAAGGCCAACAGGAAGCTCCAGGATGGAGATATAAATCTGGGAGTCATTAATGTATAGATTGTACAGAGGGTGCCAAAAATATGTATATGCATTTTAAGAAAGGAAAAAACTATTAAAATTGTAGTACTCAGTATATATTGATAACAGAAGATGAATACAAGTCATGTGTTTACATTTTTTTTTGGCACCCCCAGTATGTAAGGCATGAGAATGAAAGACACCAGCAACAGAGCAGAGTAATTGGGGAAGAAAAGAATCCCAGGACATTCCAATATTGAAGTCAAAGTTGAAAAGGAACAATCAGTAATATCAGAGAAAAATGGGGTGATGGAGGACACTGGATGCTCTGGAAGTTAAGTGAAGGGAGTATTTCAGGAGGAGGCAAAGGTTAACTCTGTGGCCAATGCTGCTGATAAGTCACATATGATGAGGACTGAGAGTTGACCATCGGATCTTGGATTGTCTTTACAAGGACAGACTTGGTGGCAGAGTGGGAACAAACATCTGGCTAGAGTGGGTTCAAGAGAGAATGAGGAAACAAACTGG